ATAAACTATCAAAACTATAGTCCAATCATATTACATCATTTATTCTTCCCCTATACGTATCACTTATTTAAGTTTGGTAACAACATAATTTTTGGAAAGATTTTACCTACTTCCATGGTTAGAGGGAAATTGAAAACGACGGTTCTCTTATAAATAACAGGCTCATCCTCTATAAATATTTCACAACCAAAATGGCTAAAGAAAAAAATGTCTTCGCACATGAATTTCCTTATGCTTAAATTTTGTATTTTTGTTAAATTAGTATTAAAAATCTGAACATCAACACAACTATCTACGTACGTTATATGTTTATACTATATTTATTGATAAGATAATTTATCTTATGTAGTTAGATTTAAGTTTTTCACAAATTCAAAATTCAACTTTACAAACACTATTTTAATATATTTAGTAAACCAAAATAAAACAGAAACAAAATATTCTACAATTAACATCTGCTCATTGTATAAAACTCTAAAATATTTAAGTTTCAAATGATTTTATATCTACAAAAAAAAGAAATTATGCAATACTTATCAAAATTAATATCAAAATAAATCTACGCTTTTAAAGCGCGGGTTAAAATCTAGTTGAATTCTTAAAGTGCATATGTATATATACAGGCCCGGTCCTAAAACATTTTGGCCGGAAACTCAAAATAGAAAAATGCCAATAATGTATCTTGTAGACGTCGAACCTTTGACCTCTTAGGATACATGTAAACCATGTATCAACAGAGCTACAAGAGACTTTGCAAACTTTACGGCCGACAATATAGTTAGCTTTTTAAGAGGCCGGAAGTATATGCTTTCATTGCTTTCCCTCAGGACCGATACCGTATATGTATGTAGTTGTGGGATTCACTATTTTATGAAGAATCACACCCTAAGAATTCTTAACATTTTCCATTAAAAATTTTAGCGTGAGAGTTCCACAAACTAATGAATCCCATAATTACATACACATATAAAATATATATATATATATATATATATATTTAAAAAATTTCAATGGATAGAATTTCCATTGAAGGTGCTCTAATAAACTAAAAACATTCTAATAGAGGATTTTAACTATGATATTCTCATAATACATATACATGTATGTATAAATTGATATTAGTATATAATTATGAGATTTTTAATTTTACGAGAAATCCAACCTAAAAGTTCTTTACATATAATTGTTTATTGGATTGCCTATAAAATTAAAATTTTCATATTAAATATATATACATATATATGTATTTAGAGAATTTTAGAACTAGAATGCTCTATTGAAGTTGCTCGGTGTATCTTTTACTGATGCATGTCTCTCATGAGTTCTGCAATATCAATTTTAATTTTCTTCAAAAAAAAAAAGAATTCTTATATTTTCTATAGTTTTCCTTTATACTGTTTATTTGCTTTGGCTTTTTCCATGGAAAATGCAATAAGAATGAGACCAGAGAGAGAGGGCTTTTTGTCTACTCATTTTGTCTGTTTAAATTAATATAAAACAAAATAAAATGGCAATAGTTTCGGAATGTACTGAATATGACAGCCATTCATTTTTTCTTTCTTATGCATTATTAGTATTTTAAATTGTCAATAGACATTTTAATTTATGGTGGGCTGGCTGGTTGGAACATTTGTTAAATTTATCCACAGACAGACCTGGTCTTCAATTCTGCAATCCATATTTATGGTCCGTATATATAGAAAGTTTTGTTGCGTGTTGAGTTAAATAAATTAATTACAAATATGAATTTCCTTGAGAATTGTAATATTACAAACTAAAGCTACAGTAAGAACAAGGGAAACAAGTGTTGATAAACCATTTTGTTGGTGGCATCCTTTCCGAACTGAAAGTTTGATAATATTATCTAGTTGTTATTGCTATAGCTTATCAAACAATATTTATGAAATTTTGTTTTGAGGAAACGTCAAAAAGTTATCGATAAATAGTAATCACTGTTTTAAGTGCTTTCTTAGTTCGTTGTGGAACTTGGTTATGAAATATTCAATTCACATTTACTTAATTGGGTCTTGATTTAAAAGGCCTTTGGATCTCGCCTTTAACGGGCTGTTACCAATTTTATATCGAAAGGTATGCTTACATTTATTGTCAACCAGTCCTGCCTAAGCTTTCTGTACCTTAAGAGATTAATTTATGATAACCAGTTATGACAATTAAAGATTTGGACCGCGGGTCTGATCTTTAAAAAACTGTAGTGGATAAGGTTTTTTAGACCTATAAATTTGCGGATCTCAGGAAACGAATATTTGTGAGACTTAACCTATTGTAGCATGGAGCGAAACGAGTTATGCGGGATTACAAAGATCCGTATTTTTTTCTTCATTTTTTGTTTACCTGAAAAACGAGAAAGAAAGTGAAAAGAAGACGATTCTTTTAAATTCCTTCTAGAAAATATCAGAAACTTCAACGATGAAGAGTCGAGCTTAGGTGATGATGATTCAAGTTCCGGTGATGACGATTCGAACTTCAGCGATCTTTTAATTTAGTTTTTACTTCAACGATGAAGAGTCGAGCTTAGGTGGTGATGATTCAAGTTCTGGCGATGACGATTCGAACTTCAGCGGTCTTTTAATTTAGTTTTCTCTTTTTATTTAATTTTGGATTGGCAGCTTTGATTTGGTGTTTAATTTTATTTAATTTTTGGATTCGACAAACTAAAACATTGGTTATGAACTTATGAGTTATAAGATAAGGAAATATACCTTCTGTAATTATCTTTACTTTGTATGTTAATATATTTTGGGTGTGACAAAAATAACTACAACTATTGTTTTGAATAAAAATAAGCAAATCAATGACTGATAAAGTATGTCCAGTTGAATCGACGACTTGAATCATGTTCCAGAATAGCCTGAAGCGTTTTGGAATGGTTTGAAGCGTTCTTGTGCGTGAATTATCACATGTCCCACGGACCGACCCACAAAGGCTTGTACATATAGCAGGGCGGGTTTGGGCAGCTATTCCAAAGACCGCAGCTCGCCCGGACTTGACTCGATGTGACCCACTTAAAAGAAAATCCCGCTGTGGTCCGGGACGGGATGGGACGGGACAACCTGTTTACCATCTCTAATGATAACCTGTTGATCGCTCATGAAGTGATACATGGGCTGAAGACTAATCCAAATTGCAAAGGCAAGTACATTGCGATTAAAACATATATGTCTAAAGCTTATGATCGAGTTTAATGAGATGTTTTGGAGACTCTTTTTGAGAAAATGGGTTTCACGAGGACATAGATCGATTGGATCATGAAATGTGCAGATCAGTTTCTTACACAGTGCTCGTAAATGTACTCACAATCACATAAGTCCACACTGTGGCATACGTCAATGTGATCCGTTATCTCTTTTCATCTTCATCTTATGCGCTGTAGCTGTAGTCCACATAATGAATAAAGATGAACAGAGAGTAGTCATAGTGATGTTTCGTTAATCGTAAACACAACAGAGAGGAATTTTAAATTTCATTATAGCTTAAAATCGTAAACACAACAGAGAGGAGTCATAGCGATGGTTTACAGTTCTTCTGAATTTAAAAATTTAAAATTACTATCAAAAGCTTTAGTTAACTTTATTACAGTTCTCTTTTGTTTAATACTTTTAATAGAAAAATAATATAAAATAATTATAAGAAATAATATTTGTAAATATTTAAATTTTAAGGAAATTATCTTATAATAATAATTTTATTTTCTAATTATCTTAAACAACGTTTTTAAAAATAAATAATTATTAAATAACTTTTGTATAAAATATTCTTTTTCTGTCACAGTTTTTTTTGTTTTAGATTTTCTTAAAAAGGAAAAATGTTAAATTATTTTTGGTTTACATTGGTTTTTTAAAAAAATTGTTATTTGACTCATGTCATAATCTTATATAATTGTCATGTGACGCGATCCTATTAATTAACAATTTTAAAAACTAAACTTTATATAATAAGAATTTTTATCTGTTAGTTTTCAAAGAATTTGCTTTGGAGAATATAAGACCATTATCCCGTTGGAATCCTTAAAAAAACTGTTGTTTAATTTTTTAATTATTATTTTTTTTCAAATTAAAAATACAAATCAATTGTGGGTCGCCATGTGTCGTGAAGACCCGCAAATAATGCAAAGATTCATGAAGAAACAATTTTTATTTAGAGATTTTATAGGGTCTAATAATTATTTAATTAATTTTTCTCTAAAGACTTTTCCTTAAAGATTACCGTTTGAGATGTTCTAAGAACATTGAGAAGATAAAAGATAAAAATTAAGAATAAAACAGTCTATTTTTGTTCTTAAAAGACTATATTAAGAAAAGAGTTGACCAAGATTGACCCTATATATAAAGATGTTTCCATTGGTGTCAATATCAAGAAATTAATTACAAAATGGAAAATCTCTCTACTTTGCTCATAGTAGCTCTCCTCCTTTGCGCCGCCACGCTAACGTGCACATCCCGCCCTGAACCGGCCGACTTCGCCTCCATAACAATCTCTCCGGCCGATATACGTAGTCTGGTTAGTCATACGTACCCATGCTATTAGTATATTTTATACGTAATCATATAGCTTTTTCAAATTTATGTTTGATTACACATCAGGAAATGATAGAATCAAAACTACATGAAGTGGCAGACGAGAGCTGCGAGAAAGATAACGACGAAGATTGCTTAATGAGAAAAACATTGACGGCTAATCTTGATTATATCTATACACAGAAGAATAATAATCCTTAGGTTAATTATCCTAATTGTCGGTAATTACGAATCATGTCGCACGTTGTGTGTATATAGAATCGTTAAATATTTCAATTAATTCTTCTAATGGAAGTTGCTACATGTTATGTACATATAGGATAGAATCAATAACGATTCGGTTCTATTTAACTGGAAAGTGTAAAATTATTCCCACACAATATGTTTACACAGAGACTCCAATCAATATAAATGGTAGATATTGCAATTACATTACACCATTCTTCCACAAGTTACCAATCAGATTCATATACATTTTTTCTTTATTGATATTTTATTGAACGACCATCTTTATTAATATTTTATAATTTTCTTTGTTGTTACATTACAACCAAAGGAAATCTGCAAGAAAAAATGTTTTTTTTTTTTGAAAAAAGAGAGTAAAAGGTATTATGTCGTATATATATAATATAAGCTACCATCTGGAAATATTTGAAGGATTCCGAAGTGATAAATCTCCCCATGATGAAGATGGTAGATCAAACGCTAGGGATGAAGAACTCTCCTTTGCTGCATTATTCAAACTCTTGAACGGGTTAGCTACAGGCTCGTGCTGGGGTGCACCGGTCAGACGCTGAACCAACTCTTTGAAGTTTACTGGCTCGACTCTGTAAACGTGTGGATGCATTGGGTTCAAAGGCGATGACGTAGGTCTCTTCAGGGGCTTTGAAGGTTGCTTCTGGATCGAATGGAGTGAAGCTAGGTAATTTTTTGTTGTCTGTGTAGCGGTTTCTCGAGCATTAAGGTAACTCTGAGACATAAATGCATTTGATGTATCTTCCATATAAATGTGATTGTTGTTTTTTTGAAAGCTTTGTGGATTAAGGGAAAATTCTGGATGTGAAGTTTGAGTGTTCTGGAAACCATATATATATATCATGATTCATGTGCAACATTTTCAATGCGGGTCAAGCCTTTGGTTTTTGACTCTTATTAACGTTTGACTTTTGAGAACATTGTTTTTTGGGTGAGTTTTGTTTATGTCTGTCATAAGCGAATAAAGTGGAAAATTTCAACGTGTGTGTTCTAAATATTTAATTGAGTTAGAGTTTTTAATGTGCTAAACAGGAATATTCTATATCAACTTGATCAATTTTATACAGTATAATAAACAAGCCGTCCACGTGAAATATTGTTATTTTTGTGATGGTAAGAATATTACTACTACCAATAGCTTTCAGATTTGACTATGGAACACAAGTGCAACCATTTATTTAGATTAATTTTTTTTCCCCTAAACTTACAATTCTTCTTTTTCTTTGGTGAGAAACTTACAGAATACAATAATAATGTTAATAAACGTTGCTTCTAATTTTGTCACGACGTATATAGTAGGAGACTAAAGGTGTATGATTAAAGGAAGCGAGGCTACATATGTGGGACGTTAAAGAGTAACGTAGGCTGCTAAAGAAACTGCTGGAGCCATATCAGTGATGCTTGAGGTCAAACTATCTCCTGGACCTTCCATTTTCAATATCCGTAGGCATGGAGTTAGTAGTCGTTTACATGATATAAGTGTCAGGGTTGATACTAGCAACTTCTTTGCAACAAAACTGAGGTTTCTAGTGTCTTGGTTTGTTCATACGACTTTGAGTCTCATCATATTCGGTTTCCCTGATTGATTATCTTGTTACTGATGGCGCAAAGAGATGTGTTTTGTTGATGGTGTTGATTTTGGAGCGACATGTGAAGTTAAGTTTATTTATATAATGGACGATCCAATTCTTGATGAGAGTAGACATCTTATTAGTTTCTTGACATTCCAAGAAGCAGATATGTTAGTGAGAAAAGAGGCACAACAAAGCAACATAGCTGCTACTTATGTAAAGGCTGTCGGAGATGGAAGTATCGCTTATAACGACCATCCTAATAACATAAACGGTAAGGTTACTATAGAATCACTACAAGAAAACACGTCCTTTACTAGGACGGGTTTTCCTCGTTATTTCCTAGTAAAGGGCCCTTTACTAGGAAATAGCGAGGAAACGTGTTTCGTCGAAAGACGTTCATCGTAAAGGCTATTTTCCTCGTAAAGGCCTAGCTAATTTACGAGGAAAGATTTCCTCGTAAAGCCGTGGAAAACATTTCCTCGT